GCTTTGACTTAAACCTACACCTTACTGGGGAAGGATGGTTTGGTGGGAATACCTGTGGCAAGGCAGTTCCCTAGAAATGCCAGGCCAGGCACATCTGTGGACACCTGAATGCCATGGGGTGTAAGACTCCAGAGGCCACAAGGAGGGGGCAGAGAAGTATAGCGGCCCCAGTGAGGGGGCAGAAGTATGTGTGGTGGCCCACATGGAGTTGTGTGCCATTGTGGCTTGAAGGACTATGCATAAGAGGGTGTAGAGTAGTGTTGCAAGGCGATCTGAAGGGCTGCACTGGGAATGTGTTGAGTAGGGCTGCAGGGGTGGTTTGAAGGGCAGCACACAGGCCAACCCTTATAAAAGTATAGATGTGAGAGAATTGCCTATCAAGGGGCTGGGGCAGTCAGCCCAGTGTGAGGCACAAGGCCTGCCACATAGAGTAGGGTTGCTCGAGCAACCTAAAGTGCTGTGTGTGGACTGACCACAATGAGAGTAGTTAAGCTTGATGGCCTGAGGGGGCCGCTCATAAAGCAGGACAGGTTGAGAGTGGCCCAGTGAGGGGCAGTTGAAAGAGGCCCTGTGAGAGGAGATGGTATGTAGGAGACCCTGTGAAGGGCAGACTATGTGAGTTGTATGTTAGAGGCCCTACAAAGAGCAGCGTTTGGCCCAGCCCTGCACCGGTGCTATAACCAACTTATGATGCCATCTGCAAGGCATGGGACACAGTGTAGGGACAGTATGGAGCTATGTATAACACCCTTGGCATTGGGGCACTAAATGGGCAGCCTCCCACATTCTTACACCAGTTATATATTCAGCAAGTCGTGGCAGAAGAGACAGGTGGGTGGGCCAAGATGAGAACTGGCCCTGAGTTGTCCTCCTGTCACAGACTGATTCAGAGTATTTACTTTAAGAGCTTATGGGCAACACAGGGAGTTTAACTTAGTGGAAATCAGGAGAAATGTATGGTTAGAGCATAGATTCATGGATTGTTAGGGGCTGGAAGGGACCTTGCAAATCACTGGGTCCAGCCTCTGTGCTCTAGGCAGGAAGACAGCTGGGATGACTGTCTAGTCTCTGCTTGAAAACCTCCAGGGTAGGTGACTGCACCACCTCTGG